ATACGTGTAATAGATGGAACACAGATATTGTTCCGTCTGCACCTGCTCAGGGGAACGATTCTGGCGTAATGCGTCTCTTAAGAGTATACCAATCTTGTATACAATGGGAATGTGGGCATTTAAAAAAATAGACACAACACCCTGGGTCAAAGATCTGCGCACATTACAGCTGTGCGGAGGCAGCATATGAGACATTGTCCGGTCATGACAGGATTCCTCTTGGGTAAAGGTATGTTAATTTTGCAGTGTAACAACAGAACAGGATCCGCATGGTTCATGACACTCTAAATACGGTTATTTACGATATTCTGGATGTTATAGTCTGCTCCTTTAGCGAGCAGCGCTTGATACATCTCATGTACACTTGTACCTCGGTTATCCAGACCCCGAAATCACGGGCATTTCAGGCTACCGGTAAAACTTTGGGCGAGTTTCAGTGGAAATGATACTACTCTTTCTGTAATTCTTGTGGAAATAGTGGTGACATATGCCATATTTATGGCCATTCCTCGTCAAAATGTATGTGACTCGGAGTTACGGACATTTCGAAGTTACGGGCAGTGCCGGGATAAACAAGTTATGAGTGTACAGTAAAAGCTGGTGTAAGCGACCTTTGTCTTTAGCGACCACCTGCTCGCAAAGGGGAACTTCTCCCAAGAATCAAAATGTCAGGGTCCGTAGAGTTTTGGGCGCTGAGTCGAATGGTGAAGGTCCCACTTCGATCAGACCAAGCGTTCTTGAGATTTATCACTTTGAAATTGTCCTTTTGGGGGACGTGCCGTGACGTCATGCGGCCGCGCCCCCCCCCCCCCCAAACGCCCTTCTACGTCATTGAGACTTGAGTGCTTGGGCCGAGATCAGAGCACAAGCTGAATTTGTGTTGGAAAGTATAGTTTGAAGAAGAAGCCAGCAGAATGAGCGATTCTGAGGCATCATATGACCTGGACTGCTTGGGTGAGCCTGACCTGGAAATGTTTGGTTTCGGGCGAGAGCTGAAATTTTCAGAAATGGAGTTGGCGGCGCAAGCGGAGGCTGATTTTTGAAGTGAGCGAGGACGAGGCAGAAATGACTGCAGTAGGTGACGTGGTGTGGCCTCCGATGAACCGGCTGGGCAATACCGAGTGGTGTGAGTGCAGTAAGTGCCGTGCAATGCCAGAACGGCTCGATTGTATCTGCTGCCAGGACGCAGCCATTACTCTGGAGAGGACACGGGAGCACGGAGTTCGATGTGTTGTGGAGATACCAGACTTTGAGAGGATCGTGCTCCACCAGCAGGTTTTGGCTACCGCTTGCCGAGGGTACTTCGAGATGAAGCAGCAGCCAAAGCAGCTATCAGACAAACCTGACAATAGGTGAGTGTTTGAACAATCTAGAGCTCTACGTACTGTACAAAATCGAATCGTTCTCTTCACACCCTGAATTGTGAAAAGTTTGTGTTCGTCTAGTCCCCTCACCCAATGATCCAGGTACATGAAGTTTGCTACATAGCAGGGCAAGCATTTTCTCCATACATGTCGTACTTGCGCTGTACGAGCATTTGATATAAAAGTGCATGATACCTCCCTTGGCCTTAGCATTGTGGCGATACATTATCACCTCAGGTTGTCATTATACTTGTACAAAATCACATTTGAGAAGTTCCCTCGTATTTCACCCAGCTGTGTATGCGCACACACCACCATATTCGTTGCAGTCTAGCACTGGCAGCAGCATGCAGTGCATGGTATCCTATTATTAGCATGATATCATCCTGTTCAATGCACAAAAAGCTCTCAGTCATTCGTGATTGTGAATACGATTTGTGCACATGTGCGCTTGCACCCCCCCCCCCCCCCCACACACACGCGCTTGCGTGCACACACGGACAAAAACGTGTGTGTGTGTGTGTGCACAAATGGTCATGCTCCCCCACCCCCACCTCCCCGCACACACCTCCCCCGACATACACTCTCTCCATTTCTCCATCTCTCTCTCTCTCTCTCTCTCTCTCTCTCTCTCTCTCTCTTTCTGGCTCTCATCTGCATCCACACCGAGCAGAACACAACAAAAGAGCTGAACATTGTTGGTATTTGGACTATCTTCTGTTCTTGAACTGCAGGCCGCTGCGCTATGCAGCTTAACATGCTGTTCATACATGGGAAACTGGGCAGGCATGTCCGTTGTCGGATTCCGTCCTGCGCCGTCAACGTCATCCAAGAAAAGTATCCCAATCCTGAAGGTAAATTGATACAAGCACAACATAGAAAATTCCCATGCTACGAACCTTCTGAATAACGACATTCAATAGGGCAAGATAATAATTATGTTGCTATAATGTGAGTTGTTGTCATGTGTGCGCTTTCTATTTTATGGATGTTTCTAGCAGAGCCATATCAAGGGTTCAGAGAAGTGGAGGACGAACCGGTGCAATGGCCAGATCACTAACCTGTAAGTAAATATTACTAAATGTTGTATTTGGCTGTTCACTACCCTGACTGCTTACATGTATATTGAATTCGAACTTCTCCCATTGGCAGAAAATTGTGTACACTAGGCCACCTAGAATTAATTCGTTGCTTCGGGTCACTTCACTCACCCGTACCAGGGTCGGTCTGGTTAATTTTATATTTTATTTTATTTTTTTGGGTTTACGTCCATGTGCATACATGTACATCGAATAGCTTTTGTCCACCTAGCCAGTCGATCAAATCTGACTGTAGTGTAGATAATCCAGTGCAGTCATTGTCCCATCAGATCCAGGTCCCCTCCAGGACCAGATATTGGCCTCGCTGGCAAACGAGTCTGACGAGCAGCTCTCATCTTGAAAACTTCTGTAAATAGCGACAAGGTGGCGGATCTGATGCTGTTTCAGGACCGATTGCGGATCGGAGATAGAAGACAACGTCGTCACCAAGCGCTGCATCCTGTCATTTGGCTAGCCGTTGTTGCTTCTGAGGTCGATATCTGGACTGCTATTATTACTAGGGTCGCGCCTGTACATAGTGTAGTCTGTACATTTGCATGCACTATAAAAAAAAACATTGCGGTCGGGTGAAAAAAGACGGTCGGTCGGGTGACCCGAAACAACGAATTAATTCTGGATGGCCCTATTAGCACATTTTTTTGAAGTGCCGGAATTCCATGTATTCGTATTTTGTAAATGCTGCATGCTACTCGGCAATAGAAGCACTCAGATACACAAAAGCACATTGAGAAATTACGCACCTTGTGTTTATTCCTTGCCCATCCTAGATCGCAAGCGTTCTACAATGTCAGTCTTCTGTGGAGGTTCTTGTCGTGGTATTGGCAAGTGTGGACGCTGAGGCAAGCTGGCAACATCCAAGTTGCGACGTGCAACTTTCACAACATCAGCCATTAGCTACTCCACGAACTGGTAGCTCTTGCGGTCATACATTTTCTTTGCAACATAATCTCCTTTCTGCCGAGAAAATTGCACCTTGTATCTCTCCTGTCCTGATGCTGTCTTGCTGTGCTGCCGTCCAATATTGGAGTTATGGTCCAGAGCTGCCAACTGAGTTCGGGCGATCATGCCGTCCACAGAGAAGTGTATTCTCTTTTTGGGTCATACTTCGTCATGACGCTGTGATACACCTGCACAAGGGCACACGTATGAAAGAAGCAGTGATTATTTTATTTTTTGGTGGTGGTGGTGGTGGTGGTGGGGGAGGGGGGGTTGTATGCAGCTACTTACAGTCCATTCACAGAGCCCTGGCTCTGGCGAGCTCCCGTATTTGGCGATTTTTCAAGATTTTATCGTACACAGTGCAGTGCTGCGAAGTTTGAAATTTGAAAAAGGGTCCAAAAAGGGTACCTGAACTGGGGTTCGAACTGTACAATGCACTGTTGCAGGCAGGATCAAACGGCCTGGATTTTGATGGTCTTTCCCAATTCAGTGCTCTTGGGGCAAAACCTGGCCGAAACACTATTCTTGTCACGGCTTGCTTTTTGGAGAAATAGACTTTAGAAACATAAATGGAAGAGGATTCCATAGGGGATTGCAGAAATAAATTCTAAAAAAAACTCAACATTTCACCCATTTATGGCCAAAAGCTAGAAGTCCATCTTTTTCTGAATGGACTGTAGGCACCCTAGTATGTGCACGAAGAAAGTCAGAACCTGCATGTATGTGTAATCCATAATAGTACTTTCATTTTGGGCGCTCGGTTTTTGCGATACACGTCATTGCCACCCCAAATTCTTCTATATAAGGGGTTTCTGTGCCCGCTTTGGGCATTTTGCCACCCCAACTGGCTCCTATATATGGCGGATTTGACGTTCTCGCATAACCTCTATAGAAGTGTTGCTGGCATGTTGTGGGTGTGTTGTCGTATTGGAATCTCACCTCCAGTAATCCCGTGTGGCAGAATTTAGCCAGCCCTGCCATGTCCCGATGCTCATGGCGAAGTGCCAGACATCAAACTGGTGGCAAATAGCAGGATTCTGGCGCATCTCGACCTTGATGCTCGGGCTTCTGTCCGTCACGATGGTCCCAACGGACAAGACTTCCTGGCACCTGGCCAGAACTCGCTTGAAGCCGAGCTTCTCCATGGCAACGGAACTTGTTGTCTCGGTACACTGGACAACTTCGAAGTCGACAATGAGACTTAAGTTTGTGTCCATGAACGTGTATGTCCCAAACTTAGCAGAGTACCCTGGGCTATCACATCTGCCATCGCCGCTGAGTGTGAGCTTGTGGCCCGGAATTCACAAAATATACAGTTTTCAATGTGAGAGAAAGAGAGAGAGAGAGAGAGAGAGAGAGATAAGTGGGGGGGGGGTCTAAATGAAACACGTGGTATAGGAAACAGAGTGTTGGGCATCTATAAATTCACCACTAAATGAATTGGAGCATGTATGATAGCAGTTACACTGGAAAGGAATATCCACAGATCAAGGTATCCATGTTCAATTCGCATCTAGAATTCACCAACCTTGAAGTAATGTCATCACACGCACCGTTTCTGCTGCCCAAGCCGCCTGGATTATGGGCAGGACAATTTATTTCTAGTACTTGTAGTATGCAGTGGAGCCGATGGAGTTCAACTTCAAGAAGGTGGCAAATGCTGAGAACTTCTCGAAGCATCCACCACAGAAGATAATGGCAGCCACTACACGGATGTTGCCTGTAATGGAGAGAGCAAGAACATACAATCGTTCATCCATCATAACCAGATTTCGTTTGTTTATTTTCGTTGTTGCTGTTGTTGCTGTTGCTCTGTTTCTTTGATACATGTGAGCGAGTTATGCCGGCATATGTAACAGGATTGTGAAATTGAGGAGAGAAATCATTTGGCAATGCCACATTTTCACTGGAAATATTTAGCTTCGGCTCTAAGCTTACCGATTGGTTGTTTGGGTGGGAACGCCTCTTGTGAACGCCAAGTAACGGGACATCTGCGTTTACAGGTCAAGTGGACAGTGACCATGGTACCACACCTTGACTTTGTCTGATGAATAACAGGATCTCCACAGTCAGGGCAAAAGCTAAGAAGGCGATTCAGGGATGTGGTTGACACCAGGTGAAAATCGTATCTGCTATCCAGATCATCATCTTCGTCTTCTTCATCCCCTGACTCGTCAGCGGATGAAGATGCAGCTGACATGCTATGGCTGTACAGAGGTGAATCCTCAGACGCTTCAGATGTGACGGTTGATGCAGACGTCGGTACCTTCAAGATGGCTGGTTTCGATGGGGTCACATGTGGACTTGGCTGCAATGTGGGTCAGGTGGGGTGATTTTTGTCGGTGTTCTTGGATCCTGTGGTGCATGATGGCTTGGTCTGAAAGAATAGAGAAAGTATCCAAAACCAGAATACAGATATTGGACTTATTTGCATACTACAAGAGGGATCGGTGTGGCCGAAAGACCGCTTGGGGACAGTTGTGAGGATTGATACTTGTAGTTACTACATGATTTTACAAATTGTGTAGGACAGTGTATGGACGGACCTGGTGCACCGAAGACGAGCGGTATTATGGCACGTGCCCAAACATCAGGATATTATGCTTTGTTGAGCAAGAAGATCCAGAAATCACCAAATTATGCCAGAAAAGACCGGTTGGGCTCCTATTGGCTCCAAATAAGGTCCAATTGGGACCCTGTTGTGCTACATATACATTGCTGCGTGCAGAATGAGTAGCCGCGCACGCCCTGAAAGTCCCCATTTGGCTCCAAAATTAGACCCGCTTGTGCCAAACTGGCGCCTTGGTCTGCTTTATGCAGTGAATCTGCTGAAATATTCCCTGCAATGCCCTTTCCGTAAAAGTTGGGGGGGGGGGGGGTATCTGAAGAGTGTGCCGGCATTATCCGTTGATGACTACATGTGTCGTGAATGGCACCATGAATACAAGTTTGGCTGCATGTGTCCACATAAATATTATTGCTGTCATGATAAAGCTGTGTTCACAACTGGCGCGTGTACGCGTGAAACCACGGGTTTGTGCGCATTTTTGCTGGATTTTGGGGCGCCATACGTACGGAAACGCGCCAAAATGGAAATTCCAACATGTTGGAAGGTTCAGCGCGTATCAGGCGCGTACCAGCGTACATGCCAGTCACTCTGACTGGCGGGGTCAAAAAATTAGTACTCGAAGGTGTCGCACGCGCTAAATGCGACTGGGATTGCTGTTTTTTTGTGAAAGGCTGAGCGCGCGTTTGGGCAAGCATGAACTGCAAGCGTACCGCGTCCATGCGCCAGTTGTGAACACAGCTTTAGTGTCCTGTTTATGAAATCAGCGATCGTGGTGTGCTCATATCAAATTGCAAAGGCAACAAAAATAATTGGTTCACCGACTTACTGTAATCACACAAATGTTCCGCTTGCACGTCAACAATTTCCACTGGCTGTTGCTCCATGTCCGTCTGGATGTCCTGCAGCGTGGCCTGGGAACCCACACTCACAAATTCCCTCGCCACATCAGAGGCACACTTCAAGCAAACTTTCCGGTGACCTTCCCACCTGGAGGGCGGTGGGTCCGTTTGGACAGCAACGGACACGAATGCATCTGGCTCAAGGATCTCCGAGTCTTCTTCGACTGGTGCAATTATTATTTTCGACAGTACCGGTACAGGCGCTGCGGGTGGTGGCATCGGTTGCAGCTCCAGGTAGCGCTGGTACAGCCGCTCTTGCTCCTCTTTCTGGAAACCATCAAAACAGCAATCGCAAACAGGCTCACCGATCGCGCCATTGCATAGAGAATTAAGTCTGAGAAACAGTAGTTCTAATGCCGTCAGCCTGAGAGATTCTGAAAAGCTTCACACTCCTTACCACTGCAACCATGCATTATTTGGAAACGAAAGAACTACATGTAGCGTCTCATGAAATATTGCACTCACCTCTGCTTCGGAATCCTTTGCAGCTTGCAGCTTGTTCGGGTGATGCTTCGCAGGAGGTTCTGCGTGCGGGAAAACACACGACACAGCTCCATGCACCAGCATCCGCCGCGAAGGAGTGACCAAAACACGAGCCTTGAAGTCTGCCTGAAAAGACTCCTCCGCGAAATGGCTCGCGCACACAAACGAAGTCGTTCGGAAACTGTCAGGTAGATTGTCTCTTTTGACAGCGGCTACCCATTGCTCCGCCAAGCTGTCGTCCTTGGGAAACCGGTGCAGACTTATCCCAGGAGGGCTGCCGGTATGGTTATTGCACCCAACAACACAGCAAGACGGCATGATGAGCGCGAATACCCTCTTCTTCCATGCACGAACAGGAAGAGATACGAAATTCCAGTATTTCTAGATCCGGCCACAAGGTCACCAAGTCTCAATGACGTCACGGGTTTGTGACGTCACGGCACGGCCAAAAATGGACAATTTGAAAGGTGATATATCTCAAGAACGCTTGGTCTGATCGAAGTGGGACCTTCACCATTCAAAATCAGTGCCCAAAACTCTACGGACCCTGAAATTTTGATTTTGGGAGACGTTCCCCTATAATGACCGTTTTTTCATGCACGGACAGTTCTATACAGAAACTGCACCGGATACAGCGACCACCTACCTTGCGCGACCAGTGACCGACTTTTTGTGTACAAAGTGCCATATTGGACCTTCACACAGCGACCAAAACTAACCAAAAGTGCCATCTTGGCTGGTAAAGTTGAATGCAACAGGGTTGAAGTGCACTCTGAAGCAAGTGGATCCAGACAGCTGAAGTGACAAGTGACAGTGCAGAATGCGCTGCATGCACTCCAGTGAGGTGTGCTGTGCCTGCACAAAAGTAGTCTACGCTCCACACCTGTCAATATGAGTACATGGAAGTACAATCATGCACATGTATGCTTAATCCGATATACTACGAATGTATGGGACCTGGTTCTAAAGACCACCTGGCTTTAACGACCGCTTTTGCTTGCACCGTGGGGTGGTCGCTTAAACCAAGTTTTACTGTTTTTCAAATTGTCGGATCATTGTGTCGTTGTACAAATCGGATCAACGCCCATGATGTGGTACGAATACAGCTAGAGACGTACACATATGCAAGTGCAGTGATGTGATCGGAACTGGTCCATGGTGCCAGTTTTAGGTCGCATTTCAGTAAAAAGAATTGTACTTCAAAGTACTTGGTCATTGCCTTAATCTGATAACTCCCGGATGATTCAGCAGCAATTTTGGAGTTTGCGTTTTATGTTTTTTTTAAGATTGGGAGAACTTCAAATTTCAAAGAATCAGTTGAGGAAGTGAACTGCCTGAAAAGCTTAAAAGTGCCAGACCCACCAGGACTGGAATCCGGGACCTTGATTGTTGTGGGCAATGCTCTAACCATCCCAGCTATTAGACCAGGCCGAAAACAGAAGGCGCTGACAAGTTGTTCACCCCAAAGGCAGCTCACAACACGTGCCACGCATACTGATGACTCCTGGGTCTTTTTTTCCTCCCCAAGGGACCAACCGAGGTCAGTTCTGGAATATGCTACCAGAAGTGAAGGAAAGTAATTATTTTTTATAGGATTGGAAAAAACATTTAATTTCAAAGGATCAGTCGGGGAAGTGAACTGCCTGAAAAGAGATAAAGAAATGTCCAACACACCAGGACTCAAATCCGGGATCTTGTTTGTCATGAGCAAGGCTCACAAATCACTTCCTTTCACCTCTGGTAGTACGTTCCAGAAACCGACCGTGGTTGGTCCCCCGGGGGAGGGAAAAGACCTAAGCGCCATCAGCACTGATGTGTGGCACGTGTTGTGAGCTGCATTTGGAGTGAAACACTTGTCAGCGCCTTCTGGGTTCGACCTGGTCCCATAGCTCACATGTTCAGATCATTTTGTTTTCAACACGACTGATCACATAGCATGGGGCTGTGTTCCCCAAAATAAGTTAAAGAAAACGGACAAAAAAAATTGAACACCAACAGGAACATAATAAGCAACAAGCGCACAGGAGGGACGTGAGAAATGGCAAATAAGCTTGCAACATGTTTAGAGCAATGCTCATGACAAGCAAGGTCCCGGGTTTGAGTCATGGTGGGTCTGGCATTTTTTTCTCTTGCCAGGCAGTTCACTTTCCCGGCTGATCCTTTGAAATGGAAAATTGTAATTTGTTGCCGTGTCTGTAGTTTTGTTGTGTTTAGAACCAGGTCCCATACATCCATGTCACATTGGATTGTGTTCATACATGTACATGTACTTCCACGCAATCATATTGACAGATGTGGAGCCTAGACTACTTTCGGGCAGGCAAAACACACCTCACTCAAGTGCGTGCCGCCCATCCTGCACTGTCACTTCTCTTCACTGCAAGCACTTGCTTCGGAGCGCATTTCAACCCTGTTGCAGTCAACCCTGCCAGCCAACATGGCACTTTTGGCAAGTTTTGGTTAGTTTTGGTCGCTGTGTCAACAAGGCACTGGTACACTAAAAGTCGGTCGCTGGTCGCGTAAGGCAAGTGCAGTTTCTGGGTAGAACTGTCCGTGCATGTGTAAACGCTCGTTAAAAGCAGACGGTCGCTAAAAGCAGAGGTCGCTTACACCACGTTTTGCTGTATAGTGAAATCTGGCCAAGTTCATACGTTCGCAGATTTGTAGTACATGTCTAGTATGGTATTACTTATGATTTCCAGAAAAGTTACCGTCAACTGAATCAGCCATGGGCCAAACCGAGCAGAGTTGCCCATGCACTCTGTCAACATGTTGGAAACTCACAACGTCTCCGACAGGTTGATATAGACCGTCGCAAGAAACAGATGAGTAACGTGACGAACAGAACTCTTAGCTTCTGTGCTTTGCTCTTGAAATCAGTTTGTGCAGCTAGTGCACGCACACCCGGTGTGTGAGCTCATGCATCGAAATCCTGTATGCACAGCTGCAATGCTCTAGGTCCTCTTTGCACAAGCTGCTATCTGCAAGGACGGAGCGTGCGCTGTACTAGCCTGCAGCGCTGTATGATACAATGTAGTTCGGATTGCTTTTCGGTTTCCTGCTCATGCACCCGAAGTTTTCCTGTCTACTCCTCCCGAAGTCGTTCCAAGTTCTTGTACATCGACATAATAGCAGCTCATACGTGTAATGGATGGAATACAAAATTTAATATTTTCCGTCTGCACCTGCTCAGGTGAACGATTCTGGCGTGAAGGCTTTTTCGATGAATATATCAATCTTTAAAGCAATGGGAATAAGGCCAATTTTAAGAATGATAGACACAAAACCCCTAGGGCAAAGATCTGCACACATTACAGTGTTGTTGAGGCAGTACATTGAAAAGTGTCTAGTCATGACAGGATTCCAATAGGGTAAAGGTCAGGGAAACACAAGATTTTTTCTTTCTAAATCGTACAGTGTAGGCACATAACATGATCATTATGGTTCATGGCACTCTACATACTGTCCTTTACCTCATTTCTACTGTTATAGTCTGCCCCTGCAGAGAGCAGCGCTCGACACACATCGATTGTACCTCTTCGGGCGGCACTGTGCAACGGAGTGTCGCCGTGCTGGAAGCACAGGCAAGAAACAACAGTCCAGAAAAAATGTTCTTGATAAGTCTGATTTTAGATCGCAGTCACAACTGTAGATCAAAGCAAAACAATTCAGAGTGGAATTCAACAGTTGGTGGATATGGTACTACTTGTCTGGTATTTACATTGCATGATTGCCATTAGTGTATTTCATATTTTCTTATCATTGTGTCGTTATACAAATTGGAAGTAACTCGTGTAGTCTTCTCGCGTTCTCGCTCCACATATACTGGCACACACAGAGACATAGACAGCAATAGCGACAACACACTAAGTGAAGGGTAGTTGGCCGCAGCCAGATGTGAACCGGATAACGAGTGAGGTATGGAAGCAAGGACAGAGAACAGAGTGTCTCAGATAGAATAGGCGTGCCAGTGGATAGCAGAAATAGGCCATGATGCAGAACCACTTGGGACTGTCAGATTAAATTTCCTGGACCGAACCAGCCGGGATAATACCCTCGCGCCGACGGACGCAGTTGTGAGGGAAAAAACCGGGTGTATATCCCCAATGGCGGTTAGCCATCATGTAGGCATGACAAGCACTTCACGGCAAAAAGGGATAAAAAAGCAATGATAAGATGCACAGAAATGAAGGGTGGGAGGGCAGGGACACTGGTGAAACTCAAAACTGACTGAAGAAGTCAGGAAAAGAAAGGACAATAAAAAACACACCAGATGCCATATTTGCAACTGAAAACGTTTCGTTTCGCGAGAAATCATTTCTCACCTATCTCGCTGCGCTCCATCGGCGAGAATACAACTACTCTCCTCTGGAGGGAGTATGGAATATTGCATACCTACACTGTTTTACGTATTGCATGGTTGGTAGGATAATGAACCAATATCTTCTTTAAAAAAATATTGATATTAATTTTACGTATGGGCGTTACTGTACGTATCGAGTATAGTTTACTGGGTAAAATCAGTACATATGCATCCCTGTGCACTACACTCAACACTGTCCTTTTATCTTATCCTTGATGTCTTTCTCGGCACCGGCATCGAGCAGAGTTTGGCATGCATCCACCTTACCCTCCCTGGCAGCATAGTGCAATGGTGTGTCGCCATGAACTAGGGCCAATCATATAGTTGGCCAGGCATCATATCAAGACAAAGTTATTCGTTTACGACGAACTCCTGCACGGCGAACTTTCGTGAAGATGAACTAATTTCAAGCGTGATTTGAACAACATCAGCGTGTAGTACGAACTTTCGGTCCCCGTAGGTCCGCTGGCTGTAGTTTTTTTCGATAGTCCAGGCCTCTTGTACTGGCAAAACATGTAACAAGGCGGAGGATATGCTGCCATGAATCCATTGCACATTGTACTTACCTGTTGCTGGGTTATTTTATGAAAAAATGCTCTAAATTTGCCATAGCATGCACCTTCACATAAATACAATCCATATAATTTGCATATCAATTTGTTGTAGAATCTGGATAAGAAGAACTCCGGATAAGACAAACAAACTTGTTCGGTTCTTTGAAGTTTGTCCTAAGGAGGTTTGACTGTACATGCAAAGTAGCATAGGAAAGCCTTAAACAGTGCGCAAGGAAGACGACCTGTGCCCAAGGAGTGTGTATTCCAAGCTCAGTAGACTGTGTAACTTAGTGCACACACAGAAGCAGGATATGTGTACGGAAGTGTCCAGAACAAAGCTGGCGGGAAACTTCCAAGCGCCGATGCAATAACTCGGAGGATCCTCGCGCCAATGTGTTCGATGGAAACCGGTGGGGCACTAGCTTGGCAAAGTTCCAGAGTCACGAGACCCTGCAATATTGAGAAAAGTAACGTTCCGCCAAACCTTCTCTTGACTATGAGCGTACCCTAAGAATGGAGTAACGTGATACTTATAGTTTCCTGAGTGACAGAGAGAGTTCATTAGCCATTATATTAGGTATGCTCACAGCAGAAAAGTAGTGCAAGTAACTTTATTGTTGTGGTCCTGTACCAACTTAAATCCTCTAGCAGGAACGGTGGAACTGGCCCAGTTGGTCAGACTACAGCCGGACCAACTGTTTGACCATCAATGCAAGGCTACTGCCGAGGAGGTCATGTGTTGCCGCTATTTCAAACAGAAAATATCAAAGACTACGGTATTGCTGGATCGACCAAAAACTGACTCTGCTCGTCCTGGCTACTCTTCAGGGAAATATTTCGCTGTGATTATTTAGTTAGCATCAGAGCTAATGATCCACACATGATATCTTCCTGTGCTATTTTACCTGGTCACAGTAGTTGACGTCAGCTCCACTCTTCACAAGTGCAGCGATCCTCTGCAGATCACCTTGTAGTGATGCAGATAGAAGATTGTGAGACATCTACAAGGGAAAAGGGAATCAGCGAACGTACAGAAGAACTTTCAAACCAATTGCATGATCCATATTGTAGTATCACGTGACTTCTCCAGTTCTTTGCATCCTCTCGTTTCAATTAAAGATGCACTACCAGTTCCTACCAGTTCTTACAATGCCCATTCTGAACTATACATACCCAAGATGATCTTGATCATTATGCTGTGGGTCATAACTGATGCCTGTGTTGATTTATCAGAGGAAAAGAGTACCAAGGAGCTACAAGTTACCCTATAATATCCGCTAACAGTATCCGATTGGTCAGTGTTGTGCAATGTTATCGCATGAGCTGATTGTTTAGTAACTGCAGTGGTGTTAGTGGATATTATAGCGTAACCTGTAGTTCCTTGGTCCTCTGTTCTTCTTATAAATTAATTATTGGCTCTCCACTTGAGTCTTATTCTGTGTTTGTTGGAGATTTTATTTGTTGGCACGTACCCGGTGCTCATTAGTGCAAACTAGCTCGATGCACAAACGAGCCGAGTTTCTGGCGAGCAAGCTAACGAGTACCCGGTGAGATCCTTTCAACACTAATTGTTAATCCCGGCCCACCTGGCTAACACGACGGAAGCAATAACCCACATCTGTGACGCATGTCCGGGATTGAACGCCCCCGATGGCACCATTGTTATGTCCATGGATGTAGTCGGGTTAT